AAGAAGCAATTGCAGAGGGACAGTTTTGTTACAAGAAAATATATTGCTTATCTCTAGGCTCAATATATCCTACCTGCTAGACATAAAGAAAGTGTTCCTTGAAAGAGATGGGTAGGCACAGAGTAAGCAACAATGTCAGCCAAGAATCTGAATGCCTCATTCCAAAATACATTGCAGTGTGGGCTTGAAGTAGAGCATACCAACTCCATTTTCCTGAAGGCAACTATTTCTTCTACATTCCAAAAAAAGTTTTGATATTTCCTTTTTGCTAGTCAAAGAACAAATTATTATTGTTTGCCCCTGCATAACACTGGAAAGTAGATACCCCAAAGTCATCCCTAAGGGGAACCTCTCAGCCAGTTGAAGTTAAGGTAATAACACATAGACCTTCAATTTCTGCTTTCTTCCAATACTTTAAGGGGAAGGCAAATTGGACAATATTCAGTGAATCAAGGACCTACTTTATACCTTTTGTAAGTTCAGATTTTCTTTAAGTAGTTCTCAATATAATAAAAGTTCCCTGAGAAACATCTTGCTATTACTGAAATATCTATTTACATTGTTTGGATAGATTTTATTTCATCGGGATATATTTGAATTTGAGATGGAAAGCACAAAGATAAAACTAATTCTGTAACCAGAAACCAGAATCCAACAGAAGATACTTTATGTGATACAAAACATTTTTGTCACTGTTTCATTTCTTATTTAAAGTGGAAAAAAAAAGAAGGCAATAAGTTAAAAAATAAATTATCCTTCTTGACAGAGTGGTTATTTTATGTGGTTATTATAGTATAGCCCCCAAATCAAGAATCTTGTAGTTGGTACTGTTGCTTTTTCTGCAGTCTTCCAAAAGATTTAGAACATTGTCAAAACATGTTAATGTTTATATGAAAATGAATTCAGTAGTTAGCCCACTCTCTATAATGGACATTTCAGAAGAGAAACTCATCTTTTTTTACCCACCATAAAATGTTGCTGTTAATCCTTTGGAAGAATGCAAGGAGATATTTACAGAATACCTTTAATTAGTAAAAAGGAAAAAAAATGTTTCAAAATCTTTCTTTTTTTGTTTCCCATATCTGCCAGTGGTCTTTTATATTGAAAGCAGAGTGGTACAAAGATAACAGACAATAATAGTTCTGCACCATGCTACTCTTCTCTTAATCCCAATCAATTTAGTTTCTTCTTTTGCCTTTCAAAAGTTCCAACTCTGAGATACATGTATTTTGAGTTTAACTTCCTAAGTCTAGCATAAAACTAAACTCAATATTGCATGAGCATTTCTTTAAAAGATAAATCGATGTTTGCATTGTTTATAATCTGATAATAATATCAACCTCTGTGTTTGAAGTGTAGACTGCAAAGCTACCTCAAAGTGAATCAGTGTTGAGGTAAAAGCAGATTTTACCTGTCTGTGTATGTCCTGTTTGGTTCCTGCAAGATGTGTAATATTTTATGAACACATTGTATTTACCCAAAGTTTTTTTTTTAGATAACATTGTTAATGACCTTGAGAAGATGAAAGTTTCATTTCTAAAGATGGCGTTTCCTTGGTCATATTCTCTTAACCTACACCAGTCCAATTCATTAATGCTAGAACTAAGAAATTATATTAATTAATACTACACAACTTGGATGAATTCTGAAGTACAATGCCTTATACACCAGGACCACTCAAAAATACTGATTGATTTCTAAACATTAAGGATATTAAGGCAATGATGCTTAACAAAGTTTGAGAAAGTTCTTTTATATTTGAAAATAGAGTAAAAAGCAATGTGGTTTATTTTTTTATAGAGGCAAATAGGGTGTTTTCCATATGAGTTTTCTTAACCCTTGGTGTTTCTTAAATCTAAATACAGGGTGGCCATAAAGTTCATGTGCAATTTAAAGCAACATACAATTTTAAATTGCGCACGAACTTTATGGCCACCCTGTATTTTCTCCTGACTGTGTTAGTGGAAATAAAACATAATACAAATGTTTACTTAACCTGGTTAGCCACAAATTTCAAAAGTGGCATTCTGATGGCAGCTATTAAAAACACTTGATATCAGTATTGGCAAACTCTCCATCAGTTTTTAACCTCAGCTCCTAGTTTGACCAGAGTTCATAAACTGTTACATGGGCTTCAGTGCAGTAATGCCACCCTAGTGATTCAAAAGACAGCATGCACCTAATTTACACTCAGGACTTGGTTGGGTGTAAGGACCTGATATGTCATTTTAATGATACATTTAACAATAACTCTGATATCCCAGTGTGTGAAATAATTGGAAAAGGACACTGCCATGAAAAATGAGAACCTAAGCTTTGAAGAATTTACAAAGCTCACAATTTCTCATAATAGAGATAGACCTTGTATGTAGTGGAAAAATCTTCTGATAGCCAAGGAGATTGACTTCAAAGGACTCTTCCGGGAAGACTGCTTATTTTTATAAATAAATACCTTCCTACTATTTATTCTTATAACTAGAGAAAATATGTACCATTCAATCACTGCATGCATCCAAGCAATGGTAAAGGTAAATATGGTTTAAAAGTGATTAAGGTACATGCAGAGATGTCTGCTCTTCATTCCTTTAGGAGCAGGTGTACATCTTTAACATGTTGTACTTATTTATTAATTTTATTTTTTTTTGAGACAAAGTCTGTGTCACCTTTGGTAGAGTGCTGTGGGGTCACAGTTCACAGCAACCTCAAACTCTTGGGCTTAAGCAGTTCTCTTGCCTCAGTTTCCCAAGTAGCTGGGACTACAAGCACCTGCCACAATGCCCAGCTATTTTTTTGTTGCAGTTGTCATTGTTGTTTAGCTGGCTCAGGCCGGGTTCAAACCCACCAGGCTTGGTGCATGTGGCCAGCACCATAACCATTGTGCTACAGGCACTGAGCCATGTAACATGCTGTATTTAAAAAGGAATTCTTAGGGCTGTCAATATTGTAATGAATGTCAAGAAGTACTATCTAACTCCTACAGAAAGGAAAAAAGGGGAAAAAAGTACCTGAGGCAAATTCCTTCACCTTGACTGCCTGCCTGCCTTCCTTTCTTCCTTTTTGCCTTCCTTCCTTCTTTCTTTCATGAGCAATTTTTAAAGAACTTTTCAAGTAATTCATTCATTGTAAAATCACTTACCATGGAACTTAATTAACATTTTTCTTAAAAGGTAAACCTGTTGAGGATAAAGCAAATTTTAAATAAACTACCTAAACAAAGAATATACAGAAACTGAGTATAAAGGTCTATTATGTGTACCTAAGTATAGCAGTGTATAACAGAGACCTTTATTTGAACCAGGAAACAACGCCTCCTCATTCCATATTTAAAATAATGATAGGCTCTGTGCCTGTGGCTCAAGCGGCTAAGGTGCCAGCCACATACACCTGAGCTGGCGGGTTCGAATCCAGCCCAGCCCGCCAAACAACAATGATGGCTGCAACCAAAAAAGCGCCAGGTGTTGTGGCGGGCGCCTCTAGTCCCAGCTACTTGGGAGGTGGAGGCAGGAGACTCGCTTAAGCTTAGGAGTTGGAGGTTGCTGTGAGCTGTGATGCCACAGTACTCTAACCAGGGCAACAGCTTGAGGCTCTGTCTCAATAAATAAATAAATAAATAAAATATTGATAATTCATTTTTGTTCCTGAATAAATGATTCTATATCACATTGACTTAACTTGGAAAGAACTGAAATTTCATTTTATAGATGAACTTTATTACCTTTGAAGACATGGGAGTTTTTCTTTTAAATCATATTTTATTACCAGGGACCAAGAAGAAAAAAATAAATACAGTGCTTTTCAAGGGAAATTAAAGATCAAGATAAGATACAAAATTACAGGAAAATTGTTATTTGATATACCAGTGTTTTTCAACCCTTTTTATCTCATAGCACACTTGAACCTATAGTTAAACTTCTGCAGTACACTTAAAGTATGGTCAAAAGAAAAAGTAAAAAATAGAACATACTGTGCTTTGAACTTCTTTTGAAAATAATTTTATTAATGATCTTTAAAAATTTTCATGGCACACCTAAGATCTTCTAGTTGAAAATCCCTGCTATATACCAAAACACTAAATTCCTAACTCTTGAGTCTTAAAACGTAAGCTTTGTCCTTTACAAATGAACCATAAACATATATATAAATTCTCAGAGTTCACCCTGAATATGTTTTGTCACCCTCAGTGGAGTGTGGTGGTGTCATAGCTCACAGCAACCTCAAACTCTTGGGCTCAAGTGATTCTCTTACCTCAGCCTCCTGGGTAGCTAGGACCTACATGCTCCCGCCACAATACCTAGATTTTTTTTTTTTAGACAGAGCTGTCTCAGAGCTCTGCCCACCCAGAGCTGTCACCTTGGGTAGAGTGCCGTGGCATCACAGGTCACAGCAACCTCCAACTCCTGGGCTCAATCTGTTCTCTTGCCTCCACCTCCCAAGCAGCTTGGACTACAGGCCCCTGCCACAACACCCGGCTATTTTTTGGTTGCACTCATCATTGTTGTTTGGCAGGCCCCGGCTGGATTCTTATCTCACCCAACTTCATACTTCCTATACCCCTATGCTTCCAATATAAACACATTATAATTTTATTATATTGTTATAACTATGTTTCTATTATTCATCATCATTACAGTTATTCTCTTTGCCTCTTTCCTGTGTTGATACCCTCCCTCACAAAGTCCATGTTTTTTATTTTTTGTTTACTCTCTGCCATTTTTTTTTTATTAAATCATAGCTGTGTGCATTAATGCAATCATGGGCTACAATGTGCTGGTTTTATATACCATTTGAAATATTTTCATCAAAACTGGTTAACAAAGCCTTCACCACATTTTCTTATTATGTTCAGACATTTATACTCTACACCTAGTAAATTTCACATGTACCCTTGTAAGATGCACTGTAGTTGTGGTCCCACCAATTACTCTCCCTCCACCCATCCTCCCCCTCCCCTCCCTTCCCTCTCCCCTCTCCCCTTCTTCTTGGGCTATAGTTGGGTTATAGCTTTCATATGAAAGCTATAAATTGGTTTCTTAGTAGGGCTGAGTACAGTGGATACTTTTTCTTCCATTCTTGAGATAGTTTGCTAAGAAGAGTATGTTCCAGCTCCATCCATGTAAACATGAAGGAGGTAAAGTCTCCATCTTCTTTTAAGGCTGCATTATATTCCATGGTGTATGTACACCACAATTTATTGATCCATTCATGGGTTGATGGGCACTTGGGCTTCTTCCATGACTTAGCAATTATGAATTGGGCTGCAATAAACATTCTGGTGTAGATATCTTTTTTATAAAGTGATTTTTGGCCTTCTGGATATATACCTAGTAGAGGAATTGAAGGATTGAATGGGAGGTCTATTTTTAGATCCCTAAATGATCTCCAAACATCTTTCCAAAAGGAACGTATTAGTTTGCATTCCCACCAGCAGTGAGAAGAGTTCCTTTTTCTCCACATCCATGCCAGCATCTCCAGTTTTGGGATTTTGTGATGGGCTAATCTTACTGGGGTTAGATGATATCTCAAAGTAGTTTTGATTTGCATTTCTCTGATGATTAAGGATAATGAGCATTTTCTCATGTGTCTGTAGGCCCTGTGTCTGTCTTCTTCAGAGAAGTTTCTCTTCAAGTCCCTCGCTCACCCTAAGATGTGATCACTTGTTCTTTTTTTGCTAATACATTTGAATTCTCTGGTTATTAAACCTTTTTCGGGGACATAACCTGCAAAGATCTTCTCCCATTCTGAGAGCTGTCTGCTTGCTTTACTTACTGTGTTCTTGGCTGTACAGAAGCTTTTTGGTTTGTTCAGATCCCAGTAATGTATTTTTGGTGTTGCTTTAATTGCCCAGGGGATGTTCCTCATAAAATATTCACTCAGGCCAATTTCTTCAAGTGTTTTCCCTGCACGTTCTTCTAGTATTTTTTAATTTCAGGTCTTAAGTTTAAATCTTTGATCCAGAGAGAGTCTATCTTAGTTAATGGTGAAAGGTGTGGGTCCAGTTTCAGTCTTCTGCAGGTCACTAGCCATTTCACCCAGCATTATTTGTTAAATAGAGAATCTTTTCTCCACTGAATGTTTTTAATTGACTTATCGAAGATCAAATAACGGGTTAATTTCATGGGTTAATTTCATGGTTCGTTATTCTGTTCCATACATCTACCTCTCTGTTTTTGTGCCAGTACCATGCAGTTTTGATCACTGTCGATTTATAGTATAATCTGAGGTCTGGTAGCATGATTCCACCTGCTTTGTTTTTATTTCTGAGTAATGTCTTGCTATTTGAGGTTATTTCTGATTCTATATAAAATGAAGTATTTTTTTTTTGAGATCTTTAAAGTATGGCAGTAGAGCTTTAATAGGGATTGCTTTAAAATTATATATTGCTTTGGGTAGTATGGACATTTTGACAATCTTGACTCTTCCCAGCCATGAGCATGGTATGTTTTTCCATTTGTTAACATTGTCAGCTTTTCCTTTTCTTAGAGTTTCATAGTTCTCTTTATAGAGATCTTTCACATCCTTTGTTAGGTAAACTCCCAAATATTTTATCTTCTTTGGCACTACTATGAAAGGAATAGAGTCCTTGACTGTTTTTTCAGCTTGACTATTGTTGATATATATATATATATAAAGGCTACAGATTTATGAGTGTTGATTTTGTAACCTAAGACGCTGCTGTATTCCTTGATCACTTCTAAGAGTTTTATAGTAGAATCCCTGGTGTTTTCCAGATATACAATCATATCTGTGAAGAGTGAAAGTTTGATCTCCTCAGATCCTATATGGATGCCCTTGATCACCTTTTCTTGCCTAATTGCAATGGCTAAGACTTCCATTACAATGTTGAAAAGCAGTGGAGACAATGGGCAACCTTGCCTGGTTCCTGATCTGACTGGAAATGATTTCAATTTAACTTCATTCAATATGATATTGGCTGTGGGTTTGCTATAGATGGCCTCTATCAATTTAACAAACGTCCCTTCTAAATAGCCGAGCATTGTGGCGGGCACCTGTAATCCCAAGCTATTCGGGAGGCTGAGGCAAGAGAATAGCCTAGGCTCAGAAGTTGGAGGTTGCTGTGAACTGTGACACTATGGCATTCTACCGAGGGCAATAAAATGAGACTCTGTCTCTACCCAAAAGAAAAAAGGTTCCTTCTATACCAATTTTCTTAAGTGTTCTGATCATGAAAGGATGCTGGATATTATCAAAAGCTTTTTCTGGGCAGCGCCTGTGGCTCAGTGAGTAGGGCGCCAGCCCCATATACCAAGGGTGGTGGGTTCAAGCCCGACCTGGCCAAACTGCAACAAAAAATAGCCAGGCATTGTGTTGGGCACCTGTAGTCCCAGCTACTTGGGAGGCTGAGCCAAGAGAATCACGTAAGCCCAGGAGTTGGAGGGTACTGTGAGCTGTGATGCCACAGCAAGAAAAAAAAGAAGCTTTTTCTGCATCAATTGAGAGAATCATATGGTCTTTGTTTTTTAATTTGTTTATGGGATGAATTATATTTTAGGTTTACATATATTGAACCAAGCCTTGAGACCCTGGGATAAAACCCACTTGGTCATGGTATATAATTTGTTTGATGTGTTGCTAGATTCTGTTTGCTAGGACCTTGTTGAATATTTTTGCTCAATATTCATTAGTGATACCAGTCTATGATTTTCTTTTCTTGTTGGGTCTTTTCCTGGTTTGGGGATCAAGGTAATGTTTGCTTGATAGAATTGTTGGGTAGTAGTCCTTCTTTTTCTATATTTTAGAAAAGGTTAAGTAATATATGTACTAGTTCCTCTTTAAAGGTTTGGTAGAATTCTGATGTGAAGCCATCTGGTTCCAGGCTTTTCTTTTTAGGAACATTTTATATAGTTGATGCTATTTCAGAACTTGATATAGGCCTATTCAACATTTCCACTTCATTCTAACTAAGTCTAAGAAGGTGGTGTGCTTCCAAGTATTGGTCTATTTCCTTCAAATTTTCATATTTC